ATTCTGATTTTGTTCCTCACTTGCTCATTAGAGATGCAGCCGTCCATCACAGCTTCATCGTGTAACATAACCTGGAGAATAGAACAAATCAGCTTTGACTGATGTTCCTGTGTTCGTACGGTGTAAAACCTTAATTCATAACAAGTAATTAGAGCAGTCAAATAAATCCAGTCCAGGCCACAGCTGAAGACAACAAAGTTCTCGTCAGCAAAAAGAAAAAGCTCAGATTTAGTCAGCAGTTGTCAGTGCAGCGTATACGGCCTTATAACCACAATATCACCAAGACTGTGTTTTGCTGTAACCTCATAAGCTCTGTGTTTTTGAAAACTCTGTCCTCCAACCAGAAAAATACTTATGAGGATGTGAAAAAAGCCAAAAAAAAAAAAAAAAGCCAACCAATATGGCTTTTTCAAGACCAATGCCGATACTGATTTTTGGTAAAGATCAATAACCAATATTTAGAACTAGTATCCAATGGAGTTAAAATTAAACATAACACAAACTCCACCAAATATAACAACTGGGTTAAAATAAATCAGGGTTAAAGTGACACATTTTTAAATTAAATATTTTATCCAGAATTAGTTTTTAAAAAACACAAACAAAAAACACCAATAATTTTAAAAGGCTAAATATTTAATCCAATAACTAGCATAGCCAAATATTCTCCAACTATATGTAAAATTTCAGCATTCACACGCGTGTTATCTTCTCTGTTCTCTTCATTAATATTCTGCTCACCAGAAACTCAGAACATGTCTAAGCCACATATAGTCCATACTGCATAATGCATCACATCCTGGGAAGGCATCTCCACACCGCAAACTCTGTTGATTTTTTAAAAATAGTTATTATTGTCATACAGTGATAAAGCCTAAATAAGCCTGTTGTCGTTAGCGCTGCCATTTACAGGTCATATAGTTTAACTTTTCAAAGATTTCAAGACTTGAAAATATCAAAATTCAGTTGCTGTCAGAAAAAGATTCTGAAATAATGTTTAGAATCACATTTATTTGACTTATTGGTTGATAGGACACAGGAAGAACACATCTGTGGAGATTTGTACAAAAAAGTCTGTTTGCAGTGCGACTCGTCACATTTCAGAACGTTCACACTGATCAACTGTGAACAAGATTGTTTTTTAAAGTTCATGAATTACAAACCGTGTTGTGAGTGGTGCTCTTTCTACCTCAAGTGATCGTTTTTTGTGTCAATTTCATCCAGAAATTAGAAATCATATGCAGTTGCTTCTCTTCAACACATAAACACTGTGAGATTGAGTATAAACTATCACAACATAAAACACTGATACGAATCTCAAACTTGTCAAGAAGTTGTTATTTTATTGAAGTGCAAAAACCTTTTAAGTAAGCTCCAGAAATGTTGAGATTTTGTAAGAACCTTCAGAAATAATGTCTCCTTTAAAATGACACTCGTGTGATTGACCACAGTGACCAGATAATCACACATCAGCCATCAGTCGGTGCTGCAGGCTGTCAGCAGAGCTGTGGTCATGCTTGAGCTTGAATAGAACAGTAGCAGTTTAGAATGTGCACAAGTGCACACTGATCAACTGTGAATGAGCTCATTTAATCACTTTATGAGCTACATGCTGCAATGCATCCTAATGCAGAAATGTTTTGAAGTGCATTGCCCAGTGACTCCCATTTGTTCTGTAACTCAGCTAATTATTATCAATAGAAAGTCGTGCAGAAATCATCACGCCACCCGAGCATCAGCGCCTACAGCAGTCACGTGTTTTACTCAAGAAATTACAAAACAGTTTATCATTATTTAGGACTGACCCAAAAAAGGTCAAGCAGTTCAAAATCTTGTATTATTTCTACTCAAGAATTTGTCGTTTTAATTCAGAGCAAGCCAAACAGAAAAGTCCAGAAATGAAAAAAATGAAGTTCTGATCTGTGTCCTTATCAGAAGTGGTGTGTTCTCTAAAATGAGCCTCATGATTGATGGTAGTGAGCAGATAACAACACATGAGGTATCAGTCACTGCTGCAGGTCGTCAACAGGGATGTAGTCCAATGTGCAGAATGTTGTGTGCTCACTGATCAGCTGTGAATACACTCCTGTTAATCAGTTTATGACTTACAGTTATAGTCACTGTAATGAGCCCAATGCAGAAGTGTTTTCTATTGACTCCCATTTGTTCTTTAACCCAGCTAGTTAATATCATTACAACGCCACGCAGAAATCAAGCCACTAAGCAGCAGCACTTATAACAATTACAGGCGTTTTAGTCAGAGAGAGCTTCCTCTGTTTTTATTAAATAACTTTTTTTTCTCTTTTTTTTTTAAAGGAAAAATAAAACAGAAAACATACAAAACAAAAAAACATTCAGGACTGTCCAAAAGAGTTCCACCAAGTCCAAATATTTATTTATTTCTAATTAAAAATGGTAATACAAATGAAAGCCAAACAGAAAGGTCCAGAAATGTGAAAGTAAAGTTCTTATCAGAAAGTGACCCTCCCCCCAAAAAATGACCTCATGATTGATCACAGTGAGCCAATAATAACACATCCATCATCAGTCTGTCATCAAACATGTTATAAATGTGATGAGACTTTATTTCTTTACTGTACAAAGTGTTTAATAAGCGCATAAATCAGGAGAGTGGCGCTTTACGGGACCGGTTATTCCGGTGAATCGGGCATTTTCCGGTCACCGTGCGTAAAAAGCAACACCTACCGGACCGCAGACACTTGGATCAGTGGTAGAAGAAGAAAAAAAAGCTAGTTTAAAATTTTGGGGACCGTCGTGTGTTTTGTTCTTTTCCAAGAGAAAAAAATCTTGATTATTTTCCTCCTGCGTTTCTTCTCTCCGCCTGTTCCGCGCTGCGGAGCTGCAGTGATGTCAGCCCGCCTGGGTCATTTGAAGGTCAGCAGCCTCGGAAGGGTTCATACAAAGTTCACTCGCATATATTAGGCAATTCAATCTTTCATTCTCTGTGGCAAAACTAGTTGGAAATGAGCTGCACGGGGGGACGGATAACCCATTCGTCATCGCAGAGGAAAACGTGTGCTTTTAAACGCCGTCCGTGTTATTTTTGATATTAGAAAAGAAAGATCCTCCAGTTCGGGCGGGCTTTACCGCTGCCTCCACTACTGTCGGCAGCCGGGACGGTGCGATTCAGTGGAAACACGTCGGAATATTATTGTTATTATTATGGAGGAGTCCCGTTCGGACGTCCGCGGCGGCGCGCACACCGGACTCAGTGTGAGAAAATGGCAAATGAGCATTTAGAAGAAGCCGCGGAGCGATTTGGTCTGAAATAATTCATGATTCCGGTGCGGGACGAAGGAGAAGAAGAGAAGCGAAATCTACCGTGCCAAGAAGAAGAAGAGGGAGAAGAAGAAGAGGAGGAGGAGAAGGAGGAGGAGGAGGGGGAAACACAGGAGTTTGATGGAGTTGTGTGCGCTTATGCCGGCGATTTTTATCCATAACGCACAAGAGTAGTTGAACGAAGCGCCCGTCATCATGTTTGACTGCATGGACGTGCTGGCCGTGAGTCCCGGGCAGATGCTGGATTTCTACACGTCCAGTCCGTCCTCCTGCATGCTGCAGGAGAAGGCTCTGAAAGCCTGCATCAGCGGACTGGCGCACAGAGAGTGGCAGCACCGCCGGAGCGCACACTGTAGGTCCAACTTCTCCTCATCATCTGTTGTTGTTGTTGTTTTTGTTGTTGTGTTTATGACTTCTTAGAGCTGCGAGGATGAGCTCTAAATGATGATTCTGGCTGAGTCCATCATCCACATGATCCACAACAAGTTGCCATAAAGGGCCTGCAGGTGATAATTATAGTGAAACTGGTGAACATGATGAGAAGTCAAGCAGCACTTTTGCGCATTTCCAACAGGCAGGAGTCAGAGTTTCAGAGAGACTCTTGGAAACAGGGCGCATGAACGCGTCACAGGCGCTTCATGAAATATTAGAAGGAATAATTATAAATGAACACATTAGGATTCATAAGGGAATGTTTTATGGAGATGGGATAATATGTGATGTCTGGTGCTTGTCAGATATATTTTTTTAAAGTTTATTTTTGATGTCAGATTGAGTAGAAAACTCTCCCAAACGTCATATTTCACGCCTACCGTGCGCCTCCATAAATCGTGCGCAGTGGAAGCAGCTCCGACCTGCTGATGTATGGCTTGTCTCAGATCAGCTCAGTTCAGAGAGCAGCGTGCTGGCTGGAGGAATGCGGAGCGTAAACACAGGCGCTGTTTCCACACCTCCCTCCGCGGGCCGCACATGACAGGAGGGGCGGCCTGACGAGCCGCGACCTGCGCTCTATGACACTGATTTAGATAAACGACCCGCGGACTTTTCAACAAGATTAGCGGTCTGCTATCGGAACACGAATTGGCCAAGTCTGATTGATGGACTGCTGCTAGTTTTTATCCAGGAGACAAAGTGGATGCATTAAGGGCAGCTGCAGTTCTTGGAATATAAAAACTGATTCCTCCTATAATTGGAAAGAAAATGTGGAAAAGAGAGAAATATATGATTAGAATTAAATCAGGTGGCTCTCCAAGTGAAGTGCATCATATGAGGGTAAAATCACAACAGCAACACAGTAATTATTTTAATTAGGGCAATAAAATGAAGGGAGATGGTGATTGAGGGCAACTGCAATTATTCTTTTTAAAGAAAAATGCATCTGAATAAAAATGTTAAAATGTTAAATGAAGTGCATGTTTAAAATAGGCCATCAGACTGCACTGTGGCTTCACTCAGCAACCCTGATGAGGCTCTTGTCACTGTTTGTTTTTCTCTGTGGCCTTGCTGCTGCTCTGTGATTTATCCTTATCTGATAATGACCAGCCTGCAGCTGTCATTCCTCAGGAAGCGTTTGCTCAAGGGCACTTCAGTCCAGAGCAGCTCTTCTCAGCGCAGGCAAAGTGCAGAAGTTCCAGCTGCAGCTTTTATCCTGCATCTGCTCCACACATGCAGCGCGCTGCTGCAGTCCACAGTCTGAGGTGGAGGAAACTGCAACAGATAAATCTGCTCATTATTGTCAGTTGATAGTTGAAGTTTTAAAATGTCAGACTTGTTCTCAGTGTGGCATCTTATTCTGTCCAAGACGGAGCAGACAGCAGCAGCACATGAACCCCAAGAAAATAAAATATCTTTAAGGGATAATTAAAGTTTCAAGAAAGGATTATTAAATTTGCTGGCAATAATTTTCCAGTGATTCACTGATCAGTTAATCGTCTAAAATGCCAGCTTTAAAACAGATCAATGATAATTCTAACACAGTAGTGATCCCTGTAGTAATCTTAAAACTTGCATTTCTTTAAGGCCTTCATTTATGTGGAAGGAAAACAAGTTTTCATCGTTGCAGATAAAATGTACTTTCAGGTTACTTTATACAGTTATTCTGTATTAACATCCAATTTTATTTCCATTCTTTCTCCCAGTTAGCTGCTCTTTGTCCGGCCAAATGCAAGGTTTTGCCAAAGCTCAGACTGTGACTCCCCTAAAGCACCTGTCAGACAACATGTTAATTAAACACAGATAACTGTTGTATTTATTATTTCATATTCATTTGTTCTGTTAAGTGTGGAAATTTAAACTGGTCTCCACGCTGGTTTTAGTTCAAATAAAAAATTGTTTTTAATTGTTTTAATCCTCTGAAGTCACGTTGTTCTTCAGCAAGTGGCTCATCACACGTCATTATCAGGTCAAGTAGAAACAGTAAAATTAAAGGAAAAAAATGCTCTTAATCTCTTCTACAAACACTGAACATCAGCAGCTCTTTTATTAAATCCGTAAAGGGACAATTTACAAAATTAAATTAAGAGTGGACTGAGGAGAATCCTGCAGCTTGTGCATATTTACTATTTAAATATTTGCATCCAGGGCCCTGCCTTTAAGAGCTGCTGGGCCACAGTCTGCCGTCCAAACCTCCTGCCCTCCTTCACAAAATTTTGACCAGGCATCATACAAAATAGGATTTCTTATTCTGGTATTCCTTTATGTCTTTGCACTGTTTCACTTCAAACAGAAAAGTACTTCTATTTCGTACCTCGTGTTTATCAGGAGTTGTTCATTGCTGAAAAAAAAAACCTCATCCAAAATCATTTTTGAAATTAATTAGAAACTGTGAAATTAGCGGCATAGCATGAAGTGTACACTGAAGTATGTGTATTTATCCATTTCAATGCTTGTGGTGTAATTCGCTGTTTGATCTCTTTGACTGGACCGTGGCTCAGGTCACAGTCCTGCTTTTTACTGTGGACAAACTGGCAAAATTCAAATTAAAAAAAAATAAACCCTGAAAATTCCCAGAAAAAATAACAAGTTCCCTCCTCAGCGATTTAGATGCAAAAACAGTTTAAGTTTAATTAGAATCCCTCCATTAATGTGTTCTAGTTGTCACAGAATTCAATTAGGTCACCAAGAAGCGCCGATCTTGTCCGTCAGGCCACTTAACATAATGTTTGGTTTACATTGCTGCTCCACGTCGTTTTCCATAACCCATCAAATTATAGCAGCAGTGCGCCGAGATGCTTTTGATTTGCTATGCAATTAGACAGCCAGCGCCCTTTAACACATGTGTTCACACCGGCCTTTGAGACAGGACTCATGAAGAGCTAAGCGGGACAGAAAAAGACGGCGTTGATGTTTTTCTCACAGCGAACTCGTCCTCGGCCTGCAAAGCCGCATATTGGCCTTTTGTGCTGTGAGACAGGACCCAGCCTCCCCCCCTGCCCTTTTGCTGTTTCAATAAGATGCTGTTTAAATAAGACTTTGATTTGAGAAAGCCTCTCCCAGGGTCACTGAAATGCTGGTTTATTCATTTATTTATTCGGGATAATGGAAACCTCCTGGGTGTTAATTAGCTGCATTGACAACGAGCCGACCATTAATGCACTTCCTCTTCCAGTTTAGATGTTAATTAAGAATGATCAAGGACCTCCTTTACACAGATAAAATGGGCTTTGCGGCTGAGAAATGGCTGCACATGATACCCACAGCGAACGAAGAAACAACCGAATTTCACATTAAAAGCATCATTTTGTGGCATCAAAACAAATCCAGAAAGCCATCAGACAAATCAGCGGAAAGGTGACTTTAAAAGACAGAGTGCGATGCTGCAGCAGGATATGTATTGTACAGCTGATGTGTGTTATGGGATAATTGGGGCCTTTTTGTCTTCAAGGCTTAAGCGCCTCTGATATGGACATGAAAGGCCATTAGCACAGCTTGCACACCAAGCTAATTTAGTGGGCGTGTGAAATGAAAGGCGGATGGGGGGAAATAAAAAGCCGTGTACAACAGTGAAATGAAAGGAGAGCTGTCTGATGCCAGGCATGTTTAATCGACATGATTAGGACGCCGTTAAGGTCCCACCAGGGTTACACTGATACTGCATGTCGACAGAGATACTGGCCTTTTAATAAATATCAAATACCAACAGGCTTCAGCTGGACGTGCACCTTCATGTTTCCTGTCTTCAACAATGATTCATTTCAAGACTTTTCACAGATCTTATGTCGTAGTCACGGCCTTTAAAAACTCCAAATATAAGCTTTATATAACTTAACTTTTTTCTAAAATATGTGCTCGCTCCAGTTGAGAATTTAACTTTCTCACAGGAGAATAACTGCTGTTTCAGAGGATTTTCCTCACCTCTAAAAAACCTGAATATCATTTTTTTTTGGCAAGGATTCAAGGCAAACTGGTTTGTGTTGCACTTTTCAACAATAAGGCAATTTGCGTGCTGTTTTATATTAAAAGGTGTAAAGAAAAGGTATAAAAATGATTGTATACAAACAGATGCATCTTTAAAAATAAAATCCAATATATAATAATAAGGTACAATAGGTTACAATATAAAAACTGTAAATAAGTAGCACGTTTAATTCAAATTAGCAGCAAATAAATATTCAGTAAATAGTTTTAAAAATGTTTGAAATGTTTAAACAGTGTAGTTGCAAGCAGATTTAAAACCATTTGTTTCAGGTGTCCTTCATGATCAGTGTTTATGGGAGAAGTTACAGCAGAACTAACACATACTGTGTGTGAACAGTGACCAGTCGAATGTTTGGTTTTGTTCTGTGCAAAGCAGCAGATATGATAGAAGTTCTCTATACAGGACATTTTAATGTATTTTAACTATACTGTCAGAGAGTCCTGCAAATCTGTTTAGTCGTCATAATTCATTCCCATCGTCAATTTATCTGCTGATTAAAAGCAGAAGAAACTCGTTTTAATTTGCGTGTCGTCTTCACACCCTGTTCTGTCCAGAGACCAAATATGTCCATCAGGAACATGATAAAATCCTCAGACCTAAGACGCTAGAAATGTTAGTGACATGTGACTCATGGCTGCAGCTCAGCTTATAACAATCAGTTATTGAATGTTTGTATTTCTGCTAAAGTCCAGTCAAAGTTTACATAGCTCAATATTAGAAGTCACTAATCTGTAATATTTGGAGTGTAGAAGTCAAGGAGTTTACAGTCTGTCCAGCTGAGAGCGTCCTCCGTCCTCAGATAAAAAACAAACGTTTTAATCAGTAATAAGGTAACAGGGAGACTTCAATTTAAATGATTTCAAGGGGAGCAACACTGCCATTTTGTTGTGAGCTTTTTCCAGAGCTGAATAACAGAAAGTAAATCCTGCCCTGGA